TAAGTTGAGTCCTGGAATCGATACAGCTTGTGTTTTACCTTTTGGGACTTTTTGACCGAGCCACTGTGAGCACATAGCTTGGCACACTTTTCGGCCTTAAGCACTTACAAACCAACTTATTTGTCAACACGAGGCTAGCTGTTGATAGTCTCAACAGCTTTAACCTTTAATAAAATGTTTCATCATTAGGACACGACCGAACATTTAATTGCATCCAACCAAAAGATAACAAACCTTTGCCCTTCATTAGACGCTTTTTGATTCACTTGTTTCTTAGTGAAACACGTATTAAATCCCCACACGGGAAACCTGGTAGCCTGTGGATTTTGTTCTGTGACACCGTGACTTTAAATGCAGCAACAATCGATGCCCAGGTGGAGTTTAGGCACGCATGCAGTGACTTTGCATAGCTGCTTTGGGGGTCGAGGACATACAGTAGCGGTACGCACTTTCACACTTGTATGTGTGTGTCAAGACTTGAAGCCCTAGTGGGTGTTAAAGGGCTCAGAACAACATCAACAGGAGCCGGAGGTCAGACAGAGCGAGGGAGGGTTGAGGGAAAAGTTTTAAAAGTCATTTGATCCCTCATCACTTTCCTCACAGGGAAGTAATACTTTCCTCTGCGCAACACACGCCCCCTGTGGCTCAGGGGGTTTGGAAAGCATATCTGTAACCAGAAGGTCGCTGTTTCGATCCCTGATCTGTCCTAATCTGCCACACTGGTTGCTTTGCATGTAAGACGGTGACATCCCGACGGCTCTGTGCCATTTATACCACTGCTGAGAGCGCAGGTACCAGAGACTAGTCTGCAACCTCCTGGCAAAGAACGATCTCTAAAGAAAAGTGAGACTGATAGTGAGCGGTTCCTGTTGGAAATCAATTGCTAAAGTTTCAGTCACGCAAGCTGAAAGACTGGAAAGTAACCCTCCTTTCCCCCCACCCTAAGCTGCTTTTGCAAGCAGCTCTTCTTTACTTTGAAGGCAAACAATTTCCATTTATATCCAAACCATGGGCAACCGCAGCAAGCTGACAGTAACCAAAGCAATCTAGCTTGAGACATATTTTCCTTGCTGATAGGGGACTCACTGACTGGTTTCTACACCTGTGCGACTGACGCCATATGCCTGAATTATGCTTCAGCTGCGAATCTACTCCTTAACCTACAATGTAACTGCAGAATCTCAATCAGGCCTTAGCCAGTGCGTTTAAAATTGAGAGTTGGGAGCGAGGCATGTCTTTTATATTGCCTAAACCTGTTTCGTCATGACACAGATGGCAAAGGATGTTTTGTGCATCATTTCGAGATGCCAGTGATTTTTACAAAATGTCAGTGTTTGACTCCCAGTAGGGAGACAGTGGGTTGAGAAGAAAGTGTGGTGGGAAGCTCTTGCTTGCGACAGCATGAGAAGATTTAAACACCCTTGGCTGAGCTGTAATGTTACCCAGCTGCAGTTGCAGTTCAGCAGAGAGGAAGCAGCTTTTAAATGAAACCGGGTTGTGATCTCTTAAAGAGAAATTGTTGCTGAGATGAATTTTTCCTGATTCAAAATTTGGCAAGAGAATCATATCTACACCTATTTATGAACATTATAAAAGCAAGAGGAAAAATATGTCCAATTGTTTTTTGGGGGTGTACTGTCCCTTTAAAATAACAACGAAAAATAAAATAAAAATCATAAGACTATATGAGATGACTGCTTTTACTCCAGCAAAGCCACAATTCCCTCTAAAATCCTTGTGGTAAAACAGCATCTTTAAAATATGAGCAGACACATAGATAGTGATGCAGTGTGTGTGTGTATATATATATATATATATATATATATATATATAAAAACACCCAGCACGCCCCTGCGGGCGGTTTATCCTTCAAGCTCGGGTCCTCTACCAGAGGCCTGGGAGCTTGAGGGTCCTGCGCAGTATCTTAGCTGTTCCCAGGACTGCGCTCTTCTGGACAGAGATCTCCGATGTTGTTCCCGGGATCTGCTGGAGCCACTCGCCTAGCTTGGGAGTCACCGCACCTAGTGCTCCGATTACCACGGGGACCACCGTTACCTTCACCCTCCACATCCTCTCGAGCTCTTCTCTGAGCCCTTGGTATTTCTCCAGCTTCTCGTGTTCCTTCTTCCTGATATTGCTGTCATTTGGAACCGCTACATCGATCACTACGGCCGTCTTCTTCTGTTTGTCTACCACCACTATGTCCGGTTGGTTAGCCACCACCATTTTGTCCGTCTGTATCTGGAAGTCCCACAGGATCTTAGCTCGGTCATTCTCCACCACCCTTGGGGGCATCTCCCATTTTGACCTCGGGACTTCCAGGTTATACTCGGCACAGATGTTCCTGTACACTATGCCGGCCACTTGGTTATGGCGTTCCATGTATGCCTTGCCTGCTAGCATCTTGCACCCTGCTGTTATGTGCTGGATTGTCTCTGGGGCATCTTTACACAGCCTGCACCTGGGGTCTTGCCTGGTGTGATAGACCCCAGCCTCTATGGATCTTGTGCTCAGAGCTTGTTCTTGTGCTGCCATGATTAGTGCCTCTGTGCTGTCTTTCAGTCCAGCTTTGTCCAGCCACTGGTAGGATTTCTGGATATCAGCCACCTCCTCTATCTGCCGGTGGTACATACCGTGCAGGGGCCTGTCCTTCCATGATGGTTCCTCGTCTCCCTCCTCTTTCTTGGGTTTCTGCTGCCTGAGGTATTCACTGAGCACTCGGTCAGTTGGGGCCATCTTCCCAATGTATTCTTGGATGTTCGTTGTCTCATCCTGGACTGTGGTGCTGACACTCACCAGTCCCCGGCCCCCTTCCTTCCGCTTAGCGTACAGCCTCAGGATATATATATATGTATATGTATGTATATATGGAGACCGCTGTCTATTAACCACTGTATATATATATATGAAGTGTCAATAACTCCACGGCATATCTTCTGGCTACCTTTAACAATTATATTTCAAGATGACAAAATTAATTTATTCGCATATTTTCATCCTAGCTTCTAACAAAATCAAATAAGAAAAGTGCTGCGATCACCTTTGGGGAGTAAAAAGTGTGTGATGCAAATCACTTCCAACTGTAACAACACACAGCCAGACGCTTTGAGCGTCAACAAACTGACAGGGTTCCCACTGCTTCATAAAGTCAGGAGGGGCACTGATAGGACCTTTGGAGACACTGCGAGGGGGATTCTGAAAAGTCATTAAATTTAACAACAGTCATCAGTCTCGAAACTCTCCAAGCTGTGTACCTGTAGGGGTCGGCTAAATTAACAGTGGTGCAATATAAAAATCCAGTCTTGCAGTTGACCACAAAACGACACAAAGGTAGAATGTATTTTCTTCATTGTGCTCATTTATAGATGTGTGAAGATGAAAGGCCAGTTCACTGAATTAAAGAAAAAAAGAGAAACAACCCCAGCGCAAAAGCAGAACGTGTTCAGAGACTAATTAACTCATAGATAATATCCAGAAAGGTTTAGATCAGGGGTCCCCAATCCCAGTCCACGAGGGCCGGTGTCCCTGCAGGTTTTAGATATCACCCTGGGTCAACACACCTGAATCACATGATTAGTTCATTACCGGGCCTCTGGAGAACTTCAAAACATGTTGAGGAGGTAATTTCTCCATTTAAATCAGCTGTGATGGATCAAGGACACATCTAAAACCTGCAGGGACACTGGCTCTCATGGACTGGGATTGGGGACCCCTGGTTTAGATCGTGGAATCTAAACCAGGAGCTCTAACTGATGACTCGTCTGTGTTCTTAGTGCGTCAACAAAGATTTTTAGACTTTTCAACCATTATCACTGTGCACACTTACGGATTTCTTAACACATTTACAAATCTGATTGCACATGCTCACACAGACAAATTGTTTTGCTACAGTAACAGCCTCATATACTTCATGTTTTTCTTGATTAACAACACCAATCAACATGGTGGGATGAGTCAAAGATGTTGGTCTGTAAGCGCTTTGTCACGAGTTGTCAACAAAGTCGTAAAGTCATAAAACTCTGGCCGTCCCTTATGGCGGCACATTTAAAAAACAGTTCATTCAAATAAAAGATTTGCTCTGTCCTGTTTATATAGTTTAGCCTGAAAAAAGGCTGTATGGTGGAAGACTTAGTACATAGATGTCCAGTCCTTCACAAGTCTTTGGCAAAACCACTTGCTGTCCTAGCCTCTGTAAACAGTTTGCTGCTGAGTTTATGTGCTGAGCCACAAATCTTTGGTCATAGGAAGTAAAAAATATAAGTGTATTTTGTTAATCTGAGTTGGAGACTATGTTTCAAAAAGGAAGTGGTGCGCTCACTAAACAATGACTTGTGGTTTACATGACATTAACCAGTGAGCAAGCCGTTTCACTCTTGTCCTCATCACTTCCATTTTTTTTAAAACCAAGATGGTGACGGTGAAAACAACCGTGTCGAGGCTTCAAAACATGGCTTCACCAACTGTACGGTTACATTGTAACCTTGGTTCTCTGAGTGAGAGACTATCTCTCCACTCTGTACATATGGAGTATGTAGCGGAGCGGAGAGATAGTCTCGATATGAAAGAAAATAATGGATGATGTCATGGTAGTTACGTGTATCTTTTACACTAATTTGCTAAACCAGTAGCTGTCTGCTAACCAGCTGTCTGTTAGCCAGCTACTCATTAGATCTGACCACTTCTGTGATGTTGGTGCCTTTTGGAGCAGTCTTAATGTGATAATTTGGCAAATAATATGGTTTTCTGCACGGGTAATTTAACTAACAGTCCATCCTAAAGCCTGTGCAGCAGTTTTGTTGGCTGAAATTGGAGTATTTGTGATATTCATGTTGTCAAGTGGCCTCCACCTCTTGACACCATGAATATAAACAGCACAATTATGTATAATTACGCCATCACTTACACTTCTAACTAACTGAAATATTTTTAATTAGGAATCTAACAGTGCCTGTGGAAAAGGAGCCAAATCTACCTTTATGTATTAACATGCAAATGCTGACCTATAGATATGGTCCACACTGCAGCGATCTTCATCATGGCTTTGGTTCTAGAGTTGAAGCGGCTATGCTCTATAGGGTTGCGGATGGCGACGTATCGGTCGAGGGAGATGGCGCAGAGGTGCATGATGGAGGCAGTGGAGAACAGCACGTCCAGGTAGATCCAGATCGGACACAGAGCGCTGGGGAGGGGCCAGGCGTAGTCTGGAAGAATTGAGAGAGAACATGAAAGATTACCATGCTGCCAGGTGATGTAAATAATAATAAGCTGCCTGTTGTTTTTTCATGGGCAGCGGTTGCTGCTCTCGACTTTAAAAGCAGTAATTCATTTTTTTCAATCGATTCTAGGAGTCTGGCTGAGTGAATGGCATCAGGGTTAGCAGACTTTGAGGGCTTAAGATGCAGCATGGAGAGGCTAACTAAATGTTAATTAATTAGAGTACATCAAAGGGAGAATGAAAATTACATGCAGCTCCAAGTTTCTGTGAAAAATCAGATAAATGTGATAGTTTGATTACAGCATTTCTCTGGTTTATTGTAAAAATTATGATTAGGCTTAGGCGGAGTTATTTAGATGTCTAATTTAATGGCTGGGAATTAGATTTTAAGAGTAGATTATCAGTTTGCATATCAATGAACCCACTATGAATATAAGGTTTAATTTAGATTGTGTTTTATGTCCCATAGCTATCATCTGTACAGGGCGATTACACCAAAATTATGTGTGAAAATCAGTATTTGTATAAGTATGTGCTTTTGTGATGCAGGTGTAGTTGTTGTTGTAGCCTGAAGTTTATTGCTTCTTGCATCCTTAAAAAATGAATCTAACAAAGAGGAATAAGGGATTAGCCCCAATTCTAAAGAGATAACTGATTCAATAAAAAGTTGAACTTGTCAATAACAAATTACAATGACAATATTTCAAACAAACAAGGATGAAAAAAAGATAAAAAAAAAGACAATACTGGAGAGAACATGTGATTATGTAAATAGCAATGAGATTCAATCATTTTAGCTTTAAATAGTTGATGAACCACCTTAAAATCTGATGCGAGGGTGCCCAAAGACTTAATCCTAAACTGACCAAATTCTTACAAATTTCAAAATGCCCCAGTTACACTTTGGGTTGTGCATGTTTGAAAAAATTCACTACAGTCTTGTAAATCATGCCCACTGACCTTAACCTAAGTGCTGATTGGCTCACAGAGCTGCTAGCATGACTGCTACTAAATTGTTTTTCTTAATGGCTCCTTGTATCATTATACTTGCATTTTGCCACTACTTAGCAAAATGTATTGCCACAGACTGAAAACAACAAGGCTTTGCAGAAGCCAAGAACTAGCTGCAGTCTTTGAGTGCCTACATCCGAAAGTCTACCGGTGTCATTCGGGATGCTAAATGTTAAAGTTCATGAACCATTAGAAAAAGACTTAACAACCTGGGTTATACAACTGTACAAAAAAGTATTCTAGAGTCAAATGGTAGGTCATCTGTGTGACAGCTAAAGCTTGGTTGAAGCTGGGCCATGCAACAAAACAATGGTTCAAAGCAAAGCAGCAAAAAGAAAAGAATCAAGATGTTGCAATGGTCTAGTCCAGATATCATCCTGATTGAAATGCTGTGGCAGGACCTTAAGAGAGCTGTGCACAAATGAATGCCCACAAACCTCAATGAACTCAAGCAAAGCTGTAAAGAAGAGCAGGCAAGAATTCCTGACTGATAATAAAGTCACCTCACAAAGAAACAAATTCAGTTTATTGCTTCTAAAAGTGGCTCTACTGAATTATGGGGTGCACTTCATTTTTCATGAGCACATAGAGAACTGTATAAGAACAAACGACATTGATTTGCTTGTCTCTCGCCAACCTAACTGGAGTGTCGACCAATAGCCCAGAGTGACTGCGCTGGGCGTGAAACAAGACATTAAAAGTCAAACAAAGATAAAAGAAAAGCATTCCTGACCACAGTGGGCTCAATTTACCGCCCAGCAGGAAACAGAAGCTAGCATCCGATGCACAGTTTGTGAAACTAAAATCAGATCAGCTTTCTTTTTTTTCTTTTTTCTTTTTCAGTGATGCTGTACGATCCCAGAGGGTGAATTCCTCTTTTATCTCTCCCTGCGCTTGGAGATCAAAGGTCAAATCTAGTACCAGTGTGATACCCTGTAGAGCTACTAGCTAGTCAGTCTCCCCTCGCTGATTTGTTGGGTGAGCAGTTTGGGGTCGTTGGGAATAAAATCGCTCTCTGCCATCTCAGCATTGGGCCCATGTACACCCCCTGGGATAACAATACAGCAGCTACAAACACACGTGAGGGAGTCAGCAGAGTCCAGCGGATGCGTAATTACAATCAGCAGGTCACACACTGCTTAAACTGGGCTTAAATAATTAGCTTGATTGGCAGGCTGGCTGCTGAGTGGGTTAAAATTATATTCTGGCACTTGCAAGAAAGATACTATTTATTTAAAGAAATGAAACGAGTAAAACCAAACATCAACTACAATTATGCTAACTGCTCGAGGCACGAATGCTCCATTACCGTACTCAGTGTCACAGCTTGCATCCTTCTTGTCTCCTCCGTCTTTTTCAATTGCTTTGGCTCATATCTATTTTCCGTCACTTTCATTTCAAATATCTTTCTAACTGAAATCCGTGCCATTGCTTCCACATTTCAAGGGACTATAGTGCATCACAAATCATCCAGTAAAGGCAATCTTTGATTCTGAGTGATAAGTTTCACTTGAAAAGCTGTTCTGTTAAGGATAAATAAAAGTGAGCAACACTGATGCTGTGTCATCCTCCTAAAGAGGGCATATACCGCAAAAACTGTCTCTCTGTGCCCGCGGCTATTTATATGAACCGAGGACATGACCTGGGGCCAAACCCGCAAGTGTGTAATCTGGCTGCTTAATTTCATCTCTGATTTGTAGGACGAGCAGCACGTATGTGATGCATGTGGAATGAATCACACGCTTGTTTGTGTGCATGCTGAGTGGGAGGCAGCTTGCATAATGTTTCAGAGGTCAAACACTTTTTGGGGGGCAGTGCATGACACACACAAACACACAAGGTGTTACTCAGCTGGCTACCGGGTGAGTTAGACTTTCTTCTAAATAGACCGAGTGAAAATAACTGAGTGTTGCAGTCAACTGTACAAAATAGCTGATAATTAAACAGCACTTTTGAATCATCGCACATTTTGTCAGGCTTTGCATAATACGGAAAGGTTATGACGTATGAACAGGTCAGATGGTAGTCAAGAAGGGCGCTTGTGGTGGGAATTTGTGTTGTATTTCTGCTCACTTTAGTTTGATGTAACACTGATTTCCAAAAATTAAAAAAAAGCATCAGCTAGTTTGATCATGGGACGTGTGATGTCCATGAACACGTTCGACCAAATGCTGAACTCCAGAACTGAAAAAAAAGGAAGTCAATAACTGCAGTCCCTCCAGTGGCCACTTGAGGCTGACTGAACAAGCAAACTTCTACAGACTACAATTTTAAAATGTCCATTTTTTCACCAGGAAAAAAAAAGAGGCATGTTTACAGTTTGTTACATGAATTAATTTGTTTTTCTAAAAGAAAATCTCCTGGTTTTCAAACTCATGGCCTTCAGCTAACATTTTATAACCTTCTGAGACACTTGTACCTGCAGACAGGGGGAGCTAAGGATTGCTCTGTCTGAGCAACAGCTTCCACAGCAAGTCAGATTTTACAGCAATTACATGCTTTTTTAGCATCTTAACTAAATTCTCCATGTTTACCTGACAATATCCCTTGATAAGCATGGAGCTTTGCAAATTTGATTTGGCAGATTTTAATGCCAGATGTCTTTCCTGGCGTTAGACACAAACCCAAGGGGAATTTGTGTCTCTGGCTGGAACTAAATCAGCAAACTATCACTTCCCAAACAAATGTGTTAACCACTATATGTCTGAATTTGTTCTAAAGCCAATGAGCACTGAGCACAGGGCTAGAGGACTAGCACAGAGGATGTCAGGCCCTCAGGTTACCCTCATGATTCTGATTGCTTGGTCACACCAACCATCCTGTTCGCCCTTGCGCGAAGCAGCAGATACTGTTCTACCTGTCCAACCTCTGTAGGGTCCAGGTATCAGGTGCTACCTGGCCAAATGCAAAACTATTGAAAAAAATAAGAAAAGATGAGGATGGAAGGATTTCAGTGGCCTCCACCTGTAAAACCATTCCTTTTTTGGGGGTTGTCTCATTGTCGTCCCTCTAGTTAATATCATTAATACAACAGCAGGTGAAACTCATTAACAACTTCCTATGTTACTTAACTGACCAGATCAATATCTCAGAAGTTTAACTTACTTGGTGGTATACTTGGAATAACAATGCTCTCTATATTTTTTTGCGCAGTGCACATTCATACAGTATGACACACATCTTTATAAAAACATAAGGCTCCTGGTCCCTTGCTCAAGACTTTATTCCAGCATATTGTGATTTAAAACAGCTATGCCAAACATGTGGCTCTAACCCACAACCCTGAGATTAAGAGTCTCATGCTCTGCCGACTGAACTAGCTGGGCATGCGCCTTGAAAGCTTTTTGTGACATCACCTGAACCACTTTATCAGATTTCATGCACTAGAACTCTTGGAAACTCACTGACATTTACCTTTCACTTCACACGTGTGCACACAGTCTATGCACTCAGCTGACCTCAGTATGTGCTTCACATAACATTTACACACCATGTTGGAAAAATGGGCTTGCCGCCATCAGCTTGAGGCTGGCTCAAAAACCAGAAAAAGAAACATGTTAACAGTTGGGTACAATGGACAGTTTTGGTCTCTATAGCTACTTTTTTTTCTTCAAGGCAAATTTAAGAGTTTATCGAACCCATTAATTTGTATTGTGTTATGGCTTAAGGTTGTGGGTTATAAAGTGGATATCCACTTAATAACCTTTGTCTGGGAGTGTTGTCTACTGATGGTAACTGAATCCTTGCTCCATCCAAACATCCCCGATCCCAAGTGGAATTACTGGGCCGGACATTACATCGCCAGCACCACAACAAAGACTCCGGTAGGGGAAGTGGTGGTGGGCTCTGTGCTTATGTGCTTCGGGATCGGTTCCAGATCAGTAGAATAATAGACAGTCACTACTCACTAGACTTAGAGGCCATGTCCACTTAGTGCAGGCCCACTTCATCTACTTCATGTGCTAACGGTAGCCA